CCCGTTGCCGTGGCAACCGCCTGCGCACCACAAGCCGAGCAAAGATTACATTAAAAACACAACATTCAGTCTGTTACGATGTCAGGTTTCCAGGCTTGATATTTATTTCTTGATTGTTAATAAGCCTCTCATGAACACAGCGGTGGTTGAGTAGCTAATTTTAAAGTCCTGCTCTGCTCGTCAGTCGGTCTTTGAGTCGCTTTTTTTTTTCTCCTTTTTTTTTGTTAATGGGACCGAAACACACTGAATTGCGCAACACCTTGTTGAAACAATAATTACTGAGATTATTAATTTTAACATGTTTTGTTGACTTTTTATAATTATTCTTTTTTTAATGAATCTACAAACGTTTAGGATCTTAGTGAATATTTTTGATAAGCCTGTCAGAAGAGGAAGTGCTGCTCTCGGCGTCCTGGCGGCATTCAGTTTGTCACCTGCCGAGATCGACTCAAAACCTTTCCGCAATCGACCGGTCGATCGCGATTGACATATTGGGCACCCCTGGTCTAGATGAAAGCATATTAATTTGCTGGAATGGCCCAGTCAAAGTCTAAGCCGTAACCGAAATGAGAATCTGTGGCATGATGTTCACAGATGCTCTCAGTCCAGTCTGACTGAGCTGAATATTTTTTAAAGATAAATAGTTTGAGACATGCAAAGAAAATATAGAAAATCTGATTTGAATATATCAAAGTTTGACGACGTGACATGATGAAACATAAATAAAATTTAAAGAGTTTAAATGCTTAAACAGGGCGGTGTAAGCGGCGCGTATTTTTGGGGTCTGTAGGACTTCTGGATTTAGATTTGACAGTTTCTTTGTCCCTTTGCATCTGTTCCAGGTTCCTCAACCATGTCTGCAAGTAACCCTGAGGTTTTCAACTTTTACATCTACCTCCGCACACACCCGCTGCTCCTTCGCCGCCATTTCAGCTCTTCTGACAAAGCTAAAGTTGCTCTGACCACTGAAGTCCGCAGGGCCGACTCCATCAGCCTGGATGAGAGGAGACTCTTCTTCACGACTGCATACGCACACCTCCACGCCGGATGCCCCATGTTGGCACTTGAAGTCCTTTCCAAAATGCCTAAAGTTCACAAGCACTCCAAAGTTTCCCATCACGGAGTAAAAGACATTCCACATGAACTGAGCGTCGGGAGCAAGAATGGGCCGGCATCGGAACCCGACTGGTCTCCGCCGGACCTGAACGGCTACCATTCGGATGGAAACAGCAACAGCAGGTCCGACTCGGTCTTGAGTTTCGATTGGAGCCAGCCGTCGATGGCGCTACCAGATGAGCCCCTGGATCTGAAGTGGGACAGCGACAAAGACGAAGAGGACGAAGATGAAGAGAACGTTCTGGAAAACAATAAAAACACGGACAACAGCGTGTTTCAGGACCGACAGGACTCCATGGTGACTATCGCAGAAACGTTAAAAAGTGAGGAAAGCGAAGACGGCGATGACTTCATTGCTCCATCTGAAGACATCTTTTTGGCCCACCTTAAGTTCACCGCTTGCTTGAAGATCATGAGCAATGAGCTCCGGACTCTGTCGACGGGATACGAACTGGACGGAGGGAAGCTGCGGTACCAGCTCTGTCAATGGCTGGAGAGAGAGGTACAAATGCACACTTCCACATTCCTCCAAAAAGTTGGAGGGTTCCTTTGCATCGTGGAATTAACCTTTTGTAAATTTAAGTTCACCAAGTAAAACTTGGAAGTTGCATAACTCCCACTCATTTCTTCTTCTGTTCCTGTCATTGTTTCAGCGTATTCTCTCTGTCAGTTCGTATAAACATCACTTTGGTTGAAACACCACTGCTTTTCTCTCATGCGAACAGTTTGATGTTTTGGTAAAATGCTTTGCTCTGTCTGTCATGCATAAATGATAAACTCACTCCTGATGAGTTGAATGTGAGAATAAATTTCTTATTTTTCTTTTACCCCCCAGGTTGTGTCTCACCAGCATGTTTGCAGCTATAAGCCTTGCTTACCAGAACGGTCCGTCTCGGGTGATGGCCCTGTTTCTGGCCTGGTGGAGGAGGAACAGGTGGGTGTTGATTGCTGGCTCCTTGCGGTGATATTAAATGAAGACAACTGCTCCGTCTATTTACTGACATGATTTTCTGGTTCTTTTTTTCCCCAACTATTGATTGTTTTTACCGCAACTAGCTTGTACAAGTCACACAATCGCACAAATAATCAATAGTCGGTTATATCCCAAGGAACAAATCGCCTTAATTTGTTTATAAACATGTTTTTCTTGAATTCAGTTTTAAAAAATTGCAAATTTTTAAAACTCCCACTCATACAAGCTTATTGGTTGTATGAGAAAACAAAAGTCATGGAGTTTTATGTACAGAGAGCTTCAACATGCTAATTGTAGAGTTCACATCCTTCCAAAATTTGCAATAAATCTAGATATAAATTGTAATTTTAAAACCTAATATTGCATCTAAAAAATTAATAAGAATGTTCCCATCTTATTTGATCAGTGTGCCAAATTAATATGTCATTTTCAACTATTTAAATTTAACATTGGCACTATTTATTTTCCGTTTTATTTCCAATCTTATTCTTTTTTCCCTCATTTTTTTCATACCCTGTATTTAATATTTTGTTACTTTTTTTCTTAGCACACATTGATTTATTCCCTGCTCTACTGTTTGTTTGTTTTTTTGCCTTTTCTCCCCTCCTGTTTTTTTCCTTTCTCTGTCTAGAGATATTTTTTTTCCTCTTTTCTTTTGCCTTCTGACTCTTTGCAGAGGGTAAAGTAAAAGAGGGGAAGTGGAGGTGGGCAGGAATCCAGAGATGGCTTTTCTCATAAGAGAAATGTGAAAGCTTGTTGCAATAACACCCCTGAGCCAAGAAAGTGTCTGTTACTGTTGCTAGATGTTGAGTGTCACTCACAAGTCTAATCACATAAACAGTAAAGCAAACTAGGTTAAACACTGACAACTTGTCTGGTGAATATGACATAATCAAAACTTATAAAGTAAAATTTTCTTTCTGCATCTTTCTAAATAATAAACGGAGTAGCAAATGTTTAAACTGACCTGAATTAGCTCTTGTAGGCATTTAACTGCTTCTACAGTTTGTCACCCCGCAGCTGATTACATATCTTTGCTAACTAATGAGCAGATTAGCACAGATGTATTTTTAAAACACATTTACGAAGCTGTCTAAAAATAGTGAATTGTTTTGACCATTTTTCCATAATTTAGACACACATTTGTGCTTATTACTACATCCTTTTGAGGTGATTATTTGTACACCTCCAGCAATGAGCTGACAGGATGTACTGTAAGTGCCCAAACACCTGCTGCTTTAAGACTAACGAATAAAACGCGGGGTGGGAAGTAAACAACCCAATGAGGCGACATGGGATCTGTGTTTGTAGCACAGTCAATGGGCGCAGGGAGTCCTCCTCGCGCTTCTGCTTTGATTCTGAAATAAAATACATTTCTGCTCCCCCAGCTTGGGTCCCTTAGTTGTCAAATTTCCTCGTTGTTGAGGAAATGTTCATGTTCCTCCTTTGTGTTTACTTCAAACGGTGTGAAGAGTTCCTGTTAAGTAGGTTAGTGAGAACTGAGTGTGATTCATCGAGGGTGAAGAAAATGAGTCTTCCTGGTATTTTTATACACAGAAAGTCATGTTTAGAAATATAGTACACACCAGAATCACACACCTCTCTACTGCCAATGTTTTCTTCTTTTCTCTTTAACTGTCAATCACACACACAGAGAAAGATACTTGTGGAAATTATGTGTGACATTTCCAGGAGTTGGCTCATCTTGACTTGATTTACTTCATTGCTGAGGAAATGCTGCTGTTTTGAATGTTTGAAGATGTTGCCCACAGTTTTTTATTCTCTTTGTGAGAGTTTCTTATTTATAGTCTTCTAAAACATGGAGAAATTTGATAGAAGACTTTAAATTACTTTAGTTAGGAGGACAACTGGCTGCCTGAAGCCAGTTGTCCTATACCCTCCACTTTACAATTATTTTTTACTTCATGTTGATCTGAAAGTTTCATTAGATCAGGGGTGCCCAAACTTTTTGAGCACAAGATCTACTTTTTCTCTCACCAGCCGCCTGAGATCTACCTCATGACACAAAGACATAAAAATTGCAAATTAAACTCTATTTACTTATTTATATGTGAATATGCATCAGTTGTATCAGAAATAAAGTGACAGAAAACCTAATGCAGAAGCTGATTGCAGACCTGACGCCAGCAGGTGTCAGTCAGTCATGGTAGATCTGACATTTGGTTTGATGACCTCAGTATGAGAAACTACAGACTGATAGGAGGAACCAAAGAGCCCAGAAAAGGTAAAGGCAAATCTT